GCACTATCCCACAACGACAATACTCATAAGAAGTTATAATTATTTAATTTCGCATCCCTTTGAATTGTTATATTCACGTGATTAAATATACAAATGACTGATGATCTTGATCTTTACTTTTTATTACCTCACTAATGACACTTTATTTTTTTTATTGGATCGATCGCTTCAGTTTTTAAGTTTAATTTTTTTTCTACATTTGCTCTGTGACGCGATTTTTTTTTCGACGGTTTTATTTGTAATTATTCTTTATTTTTACTTTCATTGGTTTTATTTTTAGGTTCGATCGCTTCAAGTCCAAAGTATTGAATATCCTTCAGCTTGATTGAACTTTGTTCTTTGGATTTGAATCGTTCTAAAAGTATTAGGTAGGCGAATTTATTTTATATTATGGTTAATCGATTCGAATACAATGATCGAATAATAAAAACAACGTGACAGCGGTGGTGGTTTTGGATATTTTTTTATAACTTTCTCATTTTTCTATATTTTGTTACATTTCTTTATTTATTTTTGTTTCAATTCATTTGCTTTTACAAAATATATATTAATTATTAAAAATTCAAATTTATAGGTTAATTAATATTAATAACACGGTCATTACTTTATTAATAGTAACGCTCTGGGGGCAATTCCAATCATGAGTAACGTTCTAGAAGCGAATTCCAACGCTACAGAAAAAAAATTGTAATTATTTTATTTATTTTAAAAAAATTAGTAAAGAAACTTTTTTTCCAATCTTATTTTTTAAAAAAAAAATCAACTCTTTTTCTTTCTCGTTCTATTCGTCGATAAATACCTTATTTTTAAATTCATTTGGTGGAAGGGCATATTCTCATAAAAGATATATCATAAATTTTATTAGGAACATACTTTTGTAGTAGGTGTCATTGAATCATTTAAAATAAAATTGAACTTGGCGGGAATCTTTAAATCTTTGTGATTTTTTTTTGGTTTTTGAAGACGGTCAACCTCAGAGCGCATATAGTTATACTGGAATTGAAGGTTGTTGTAAGTTGTTTTTAGTTCTCTGTATCTATGTCTGCGATATGAAAAACGAGAAGAAAGGCTATTTAGTTCATTATTTAATCTATTATTTTCAACAAAAAATTGAGCGACTTGATCCAAAGCTGCTGAAAGAAGTTGTCGTTGATGGTGGTTTTCTGTTTCTAAGCTATCAAGACGTTGTTGACGAGCTTCTTCTTTCTGGTTGCGAAGATTGTATCGGCATTTCAGCTGCGTTGTGATTTATCCATGCTGAAAAGTAGGAAAGTATTGCGAAAATGTGAGATTTTCTACGAATATTTAAATCAAAAAAAAGTAGCTGTGAAAAATTCTCAAGGCCATGAGAAATTTCTTGCAGAAAAATCTATTGGCTGATGATCATAGAATAAACTGGAAACGATGACGATCTTATAGGAGGACTTTCATATGATTGGCCGATTATGTTACACGAATTTGTATACATATCACGTGATATATATATGTTAATAAAATTAAATATTTAAGCTATTTAACGTTGCATAATTATTCTGTTGATATGACACCAAAATGTTAAATAAATATCTAAAATATTGTTTGTTTGTTTGAGTCGATGCCATAATGTTCAGGTGATTTCTTACTGCTTACGGTAAGTGTCGTATATTTACTTTTTAAGGATTCCGATATGACATAATTCTATCATTTGGAAGGTTGACATAAGGATTCCGATATGACATAATTCTATCATTTGAAAGGTTGACAATGCGTAAGTTTGTTTAAAATTTTCGCACGCGATCAACACATATCAACAAGTGCCCCCACTTGAGTACATTTCACTCTATTCTCTCTTTACTTCGCTTAAAGAAAACTAACCAAAAACAGTTCTTCCAAATACTTTTTCGCTAATTTTTGGCTTCCGAAGGAACATAAAGTGAGTTTAAAATCTTTATTGTTTATTTATCTTTTAAGAATAACTTTACATAATTAATTTATTAAGAAAAATCTTGACTACAAATAAAACGAAAGACTTATTCGTATAGCTACGCTCCTTACGAACGAAACGAAAGAACTTCTTCGATAAGGCTACGCTATTGACTAATAAAACGGAAGGATTTTTCGCTTCAAGATTTAAATAAGGTAGACGCGAGAAAAGTCCATTTCTGATACGGGTAGAACTGTTAATGGGAGAAGTGTTTTATAGTCATTTTTATATACCAAAGCAAGTGTATCTTTTAAATAGCGTTGGCTTTGATAAAAATAACACGATGCAGAGTAATTTATTACAAATCGTCCCTTTATTTTTGACTATATAATAACCTCTTAACCCCTCGCTGATGTGCTGCTGATGTACTTTGGCAGCGCTCACTGAGTAATATTCTAAAAATCCAGAACCTAAATTAGTAGTCCCATTGATACTGGCTGTTTTTCTTTAAGAAGTAGTTAACCACAGAAGTTACTCATGTGCGCCCTTTATTTTTATTTTATTTAAACATAGAAATGAATGATTCTGAATATTTTCTGATCACGCTAATGCTACGACAATGAAACAAAGGACTTTTACGTCAAGATTTAAAATTGATGATAGGAAAGTGTTATACAGGTAATATCCTAAAAAAATCCAGAGTATTTTGAAGTGGTCCATTGGTTCTGACTAATCTTCCTTAGGGAGTAGTTAACCGCTAGGTATTACTCACACTCAACCCTTTATTTTTTTTTATTTAAATACAGAAACGGACGATTCCAAAATATTCTGATCACACTAATGCTAATGCTACTAACAAACAAAATGAGAATAACGCTATGTTACTTAGAATTAATTAGATAGTTTTTTTCAAAAACGCGTCGCCGAAAGAAAAACCAAAAAGTTTTTTTAAAAATTTATTTTTATTATATGTTCATTTTGTTTTTAAGAAAAAAACTTTTTGATCGGTAACTAGTTTACGTTTGATAAAAAAAATTCATTAATGAATTAAAATTAATTAAAAATTTTTAAAATTGATGCAATAAAGTTTAAAATGCTTTTCACAATTATGAATGGCACAGTAACTTCAGAAATTTAATTAGTGCAGGTCGAAAATTGTTCTTTAAAGAATTTAAATAAAATACATTACAAATTTCGATACATATTATATACACTAAGTTCAATGGATTTTTGTGAATGGACATGTCAATATTTGTTATGAATTATACTTTATATTAACTAATGGATGGAATTTAATACTATATACAATTCATGCCATATAGATGTTGGTGTCAGGTGATTCTACTTTATATAGTGAAAGCTATGGTTATTTCCAGAAAGGAAGGAATAGGTATAAATTTGGTTAGCTTCATGCAAGAACTATGGGCCATTTTTATTTATATTGATATCAATATCAATATCAATATCAATTTCAATATCAATATTGATAGGAACAACGGTTATTTATATATGATTTTTTTTAAAAAAAAAAATTAGGACTGAATGATTACAATTACTAATTTAAAATAAATGAAAGAATTCGTTGAAAACATATACTGCAGTAATGAAAATCCTGTTTCATCTGATAATTTTAGCCAGATCTCAATCCAACCTAAAACTGCCTAAATCAAATAAATAAGATGAAATAAATAAAATTAGCAATCAAATTAATTACCAAAATAAGAAAAGAAAATAAAACAATAAATCAAAAAATTAGTCAGCTCACCTTAGCCGTGATGATGAGCCAGTCAGTTCTGTTCAAAAGTTCTTAGCCAACCGATCAAATCTAAAAAAGCAAAATAATTACCAAAATAAGAAAAAAAAAACTAAGTCAAAAAAATTAGTTAGCTTACCTTCACTACTAATCAGTTTCATTTCGAAGGTTCTATTTAGTTTTTAGCCTAAGTAGAAGATCTGATCAAATCTAAAAAAAGGAAATAAAAAATACATTAAAGAAAAAAAAATATTAATTAATATACATAAAAAAAAATCAATATTAAAAAAAGAAACTCATTGGCTTACCTTTGCCATAATGATGAGTCAGTCAGTTCCGTTTCAAAAGTTCTGTCTAGTTCTTAACCCAAGCAAAGAATCCAATTAAACCTAAAAAAAGGAAATAAAAAATATATTTAAAGAAAAAAAATATTAATTAATATATATAAAAAAATTAATATTAAAAAAAGAAACTCATCAGCTTACCTTCACTGTGGTGATGAGCTAATCAGTTCTATTTCAAAGGTTCCATCTAGTTCTTAACTTAAGCAGAGAATCTGATCAAACCTAAATAAAAGAAAATAAAAAATATATTAAAGAAAAATAATATTAATTAATATATATAAAAAAAAATCAATATTAAAAAAAGAAACTCATCAGCTTACTTTCACTATGGTAATGAGTTGGTCAGTTCATTTTAAAGGTTCCATCTAGTTCTTAACCTAAGCAGAGAATCTGATCAAACCTAAATAAAAGAAAATAAAAAATATATTAAAGAAAAAAAATATTAATTAATATATATAAAAAAAAATCAATATTAAAAAAAGAAACTCATCAGCTTACCTTCACTGTGGTAATGAGCTAGTCAATTCGTTTTGAAGATTTTGTCTAATTCTTAGCCTAAGCAAAGGATCTGATCAAACCTAAAAAAAGGAAATAAATAAAACATTGTTGGCTTGGTATCTGTAAACTTAAACAATAAACTTTTAATTTAATCCATCAAATTAAATACAAGACAATATCATAATTACTCCTATATGAAGACATGACAAAAAGCAATAGTAAATGAATTTAGCAATTTCTTTATTGAACTCTTGGTTTATCCTAAAACCCTATCTCAAGTTACTTTTTAACTCAAGAGAAAATACAAGATATTTATATAAAATGAAATAATATAAAATCAACTATAACAAATATAATAAAAAGAATAAATAATATAACTATAATAAATATAATATATATAATAAATAAGATATAATTAATAAAGATAATAACTATAATTTATTTATCTAATTTGTTTACTTGATCAATGTTAACAACTTTAGTAACTTTGTTAACTTCGTTAACTATATTGATTATTTAGATCACATAACTTATTTTTAGTGCAGTCACAGATCATGACTTTAACATTAAAGAAAAAAAATATTAATTAAGCAAGTTATAGCTAAACAACTAATAACTAAAGGAGGATCACAATGTAATTATAATTGTGACATTGAAAATCATTATATCCATACATATTACAAGACTTGTAAGAGAAATTTACCATATGGAATGATCAAACATCATTGTATCATTAGATTCAGTTTAGGACAGATTCAACCAGATATAAATCCTAATTATTTAACTAATGACATTTAGTGAGATGAATCAATTTTAGTTTAACAAGAAAACCTTTACTCTCAACTTTATTATATGCTTGAAAATCCTAAACGTCTTCTTGTTTCTCATATTTAAATATTTTGATTCATTCCCATATTTATTCAAGTAATATTAGTAATAATTATTTAGAGTGAAAGCGAAAGTATCTACATTGTGATAGGCAGCTCAAACATTATGGAACTCAATCAATATAATAATTTATTTATTTATATAACCCTAAACTAATTATTCACATCTTTTAACTTAAATGAAATTGCAAAATTAAAAAGACAATCAAAATTCTATACAGTTTAACTTGATTTCTTATATAAAAAGCAAAGACAAAAAAATGCTCCTGAACAGTTTCTAAGTGTTATCAAAAAAACTGAATTAGATGCAATCCTTTACATGATGCATAATGATCCAACAGCTAGACACTTTTCTACTGACATTATATTTAACAAAGTTTGTACTAGATATTATTGGCCTCAAATATATGAAAGTATCAGAAAATATATTCAATCATATGATGTTTGCCAATGATGAGGAAGGCCTAAAACAAAGAATGAATTACATCCTATTTCAGTTGATTCACTATTTTATAGAATTGGAATAGACTTCATTAGACCTTTATTATGAACTAGTAGAGGAAATAGACACATTATTATTGTTATAAATTATTTAACAAAATGGCCAGAAGTTAGAGCAATTAAGGATGCTACTGCTAAAAATGTTGTTAAGTTCTTATATGAGGATATTATTTGCTGACATGGATGTCTAACTAAGATCTTATCAGATAGGGAATCTCATTTTAATAATCAATTAGTTACAGAATTGATGGAATAATTTTACATTTATTATAATCTATTTACTCCTTATCATCTTAAAACAAATGGATTAGTAGAAAGATTTAATAGAACTTTATGTGAATCATTAGCAAAATTAGCTGTA